TAATGTTTTCGTGGTCTTTACAACAAACTTATTTTGTTATAAAAACGCTGACTGAGTGATATCTTCTCTCTTTTTTCTATCGTATCTACCAGGTGGTGATTCGAGGGGAACTTTCAGCTGACAGCGAAGCCTTGGAGGTCCTGGCCATCGATGACTTATCCCTCAGTCCTGGCTGCGTGATTCTGTCTGGTATTGCTACCATTAATAACATCTCACCACACAGACGGGACGAGTTCAGACCTTGACATTTTGAAATATCGCCACACATAAACAGACCGCAACAAACTTGTTTAGAATACTGATGAACACCCGGGATGGGATTCATAACAGAATAACTGAATCGTTAAAATAGTGCTTACTGCACATTTCCTTGCGCTGAATATGGAGCAGTCAGGGCCACAATGTATGGGTTTATTTGTGCCCGCTGTAGTGTGCTGCCTACAGATCATTGATGAATATGATGCAGCTCAACATCTTGGCTGGGAGCGTTCAATAAAGCACCATTCACTTGGCGCTTTGGACATCATTTTAACATGTTTTATGTTTAGCACAAACTGTAGCATCTGCACAGCTGCCATTATTCATCTCATATTGGAAGATGATCCGGTTCTCAGCCCATAAAATAAACAGCAGTGGAACCTTTTTTTATTGATTGTCTTGTTTAGAATATCAACGTGTGGCCTTCAGCTTTCTTAGGCCTCCTTAGCTTCCTCTGGAAGATAATGTCGCTGGTCAGATGGCAGCAGTTCAAGGAAAGCTCCACAGTCTTTCCAGAATGTTTGAAGGTTTTTTTACTTGACTCTCTGAACCGCAAGCAGTTTCTGGCCTTTTTATTTGCTCCTGTCACATCTCATTCACCGTGAGCTCATTTCTGACTGCAATATAAAGTCCTGCACCTCAGTGGAAACAGCACAACCATGACTAGGAGTAGAGAGTACTCAGAAATATCTACTGTGCAGTAGGGCATAGTTACACTTCTTTAAATCATCAAGAAGACAAAAAAATGAAAATTTTATTGATTTAAAAAAAAAAAAAAAAATCTAGAATAAAAATATACATTTGTCAAGTGCCCAGAGATGTTACCTATACTAGGAAAAAAAAAGGAGGTTTAATATGAATTCTTAAAACTATATATTAGTTTCTACTTGTTCATTCATTCCCCATTGAGCATTGAAAGTATGGAGTATCTGTGGTTCTGAGTGAAATATCTTAACAACTATTAGATCGATTGTCATGAAGTTAAATCATATACGCTTCAGGATTAATTGCAATAACTTTTACTACTACTTCTGCAGATTGTTCTTCTTGTTTCACTGGACCTCTGAGTGTAAATACTTCAACCCGTTGGTCTCCTGAGGCATATAAATCCACATTAGTTTGCTGTAGAGTAACTTTTCTGGAGGCAAATATTTCACTTAGGAGAGACACAAACGAGAGAACATTTTTATGATAATTATGCGATAAATGACAATGTGTATGTGAAAAGAATCACTCTCAGCGGCAATCCTGCAGGAGTTATGACTCAACTCTGAGCCTTTTAGCATTTTTCAGCTCATTGTTTTTATTTTATTGCCCCCCGTTGGTTTCACTCTCTCATCTGCTCTCGAAAGCTATCAGAAGTCCATTATGCTATAATTGGCAGGCACCAAAATGCAAACAAAGATGGTGACTAGCAGCATGTAGTAGTTAACGAGACATCATTTCTTCAGAAAATGGTGAAGATCAAAACGAAGATAAACACTTTGCAACATGTTCCCTCTGTCAAATTTGTCAGTTATGTGTTTACGGCTGCTATCAAGTTGCAAAAATGTCACTTCTTCTCGCTTTAGGTTTGGTAAATAGTGTTGAAGGAGAGCAAAAGACATGGTGACTCACCTGTGTGGCAAACTTAAGAGTCTGGTTGCAGCGTCACCAGGCCTAGTTTAGCATGTCTAAGTAGACGAGACAGTCCAGTGTCACCTTGGCACATGGTCCTTCTGCTTCCATCTGTCTTCTGCTCGCTAAAGTGGGTTTGTTAAATGCTCCAGACTTCAAGACAAAAAGGATGGTGTCTCTCCAGCCTCATCGATCATATTAAAAAACCTGAACAATGGCGCACTGAGCTTTTTAGAGCAAAACTCAAGTCAACTATTTTTTATAGTCAAAGCTCTGACCCGTTAGAAAGAATTAATGGGTTTCACATTACAATACTAACAAAACTTCACCAAACAGACCTGATTTAATATGTACAACACATCAGTACAGGCTGACCTGCACATAGGAAGGAGGACTATATCACTAACCGCATGCCATTACGGTCACTTACAGAGGATTTTTTCTGTCCGACATCCTTCATTATTCATCCTTATCCCACACATGGCTGATACATTTGTTTCACCAAATTACGGGATCACAGCATCCATGAATTTCGATTAATTGCACTGTCACTAATGATGGCAATATAACCATTAAGTACAGGCTCTGATTAAATGGATGCAGGGTGAAAATAAAACAGAGGCATGTTATTGCAAATTGTATAAGCAGCTGAGGTTTGACGCCTCTTCTGCACCGCGGTACCATAAATCTCATTCTTTACACGTGTAAGTGTCTGCAGGTGGTTGCGTGTCTGTGTATGTTTTTTGAGCACATAATTTATTACAGCTAGCATTTTCTGCACAATTTATGCCTAGTAATTTGTGTTTTTAATTACGTCGCAGTCACAATCGTAATCGCTTGCTGGGTTACGATGGCATTCTTTCGGGTTAAGGACGGGCTACATTAATGAACTGCACAGGATGGAGGTTTTTTTTTGTTGCCTCAAAACATGTTAAAGTTTATTTGCAAGCTTTAAATTAAAAGTACAAGCAGAAAGCTACCTTCAACAACACCTTTTTGAATTATATAATCATAAAGTGTGGTTGATGACTGAGTACAGAGTCCAAAGTCTGCATCATGAGTTTATGTCTGTGGTTAGATTTAGGCAACAAGGAGCTTGGTTAATGTTTAGGAAAGAATGTTGTTTCGGTTTAACAAACTTGATGTGTCTTAAGCATTGCAGACCTTTTTCTCTATTAAACCAAGACTCTTTTCTTTCCTTAACCTTAACCAAGTGTTTAACAGCGCTGAAACTTTCAATATAAACTTGTCAGACAGGTTAATTAGGAACACTTTTTCATAATGTCTAATCGTGTTTTCATTATTATAACACTTGCCAGAAAAGATAAACCAGGTGGAATTTTGTTTCCGACAAAACGCACTTCTTGTTGCAGATTAGTTGTATATGAACGTAATTACTGGGCGACAGGGTTGGCAAGAAAGCACATGACAAGTTATGCCAATTGAAGCTGCACTAATCCAAATCCTTCTCAGTTTTAATCCATCTCAGTTGTATCTTTTTGCTTCTCCCCTCATTTTAAAACTTCGTTGCAACAGAGAAGTAAAAGCAGCAACCTTTAAAAGACTTTTTTTTTTTTCAATAGCGAGCCCTAAAGCCATTTAAAAATTGGGCAATTTTTCAAATATGTTTCCAATGCTCTTTTTAGGCGGAATGAAATTGAATTCATTTAAGAGATGGGGTCTGAGATGTACTATTGATCAGAGTATATGAACGTCATTCATTATTTCACTGTTGAATCTAATCTTCCATAACACAGCTAATGTACTTACTCTTCTCTGGACGCAGCTGAGCTCATCTATATTAATCCACCGTGAGCTTTTTAATGATGAAATCACATGACAGGAGTCAGAGATAACAGCTGTAACTCTAAGCATGTGGTGGGTCTACATTTGATTTAATAGCTCCTGGGGATCGAAGTGCCTCTTGCAACTGAACACTGCAATTCCACTGATTTGTGTTGTATTAATGTCTGATTTTTGATTCCTGTGGCAGAGAGCAGCGTTCCTCCTCCTCCTCCTCCCGCCTGCCCTCCCTCGTGGTTTGACTGCGGTGGTGGGGAGTGTATTGAGGAAAACAGAGTGTGTGACTTCACCCCAGACTGTCTCCACGGAGAGGATGAAGCCAGCTGCCGTACGAAACCTTATTACCAAGTAACACATTCCAATAACCCACATCCCATTTGTGTGTTTGACTGAGCGACAATTGGTGATTTACAGTCGTCTGGCAGCGTGATGGCTGTGTCCTGATTTATTCTTTTTTTGACCCAGTATGAATCAGTGTTGCAGTTTCCTGTTATTTTTAAATGATGTGTCAAAATGTGAAAACTTCAGTTAATCAGTTGACACTATATTCTCACCCTAAGATCTATAGTTGGAGTTTTCCTGTTTCTCTTTACATGATATCCTCCTTATTGTTTACCTTAGAAACACAGGGCTCCACCATATAATCTAACAGTCCTACTAATGTATCTTGTTGACTTTACTTCCGACATATCTTACTTGTAGTGCACAATGAATGTGCGCAAATGACTGTCGGCCATTTTGTATTTTTCTTTCAATGATAACTCTAAAGTTACTGAACACAAAAACATGATTCTTTTCTGGATAATACTAGCGATGCACGATGTTAAAATTTCTGGGATATCCGATATTAAGATTTCTGATATTGCTGATAACCGATATCACCAATGTTGATATTTAATTTTTGTTCACATCAAAAATTTTTTATAAATAAATACTGTGAGAACGTGGAAGCTATTCAAAAGAAGCCTTTACCAAATTAGACCACATAGTCTTCTTTATTTTGTAACAAAAGTAAAATAGTTTAACATATTTAACGTTCAAGTCCAGGATCATTTAAGTAAAAACATCTGTGAAGTAGCAGCAATATCAAATGTAGAGACAAAGGCACTAATGTTAGACAATCATTGGTTTTTCATCATTCTTCATGCTGTAAATTTCAGCTTTGTATCATCACTAATGGCTCATGTGACAGAATGTTCTTGCCAAAATGCATCAGAAAATTGAATGCACACAAGCTTGTACCTTTGACTTTTTAGAAAGAACCCCATATTTTGTAATGCAGTTAATCAATATTTTACTCTTGATGGAACCCAGAGAGTTTCATGCCAATCCGAGCCGTATAAATGCTCCTGCTGTGACTTACCGAACATTTTTTTATGGAAGTACAAATTGGAGTTTTTACTCATGGGAACAGTGGTGCCTGAAATATCTCCTCCCACTCTGTAACTGTATGAGGAAGGCAGACATGGGGCACAGTTTCCAAATTAATACAAAATTGGCTCAGAATCCACAAGTGAATTGATTTCAGCTTCATGTGGTATCATCAGTTTTTTCAACACTACAATCTTCAGTTTTTCCTGGACATTTCTTCCCACTTCCCACTATGCATAGATAAATCCACTTCTGATTTTTATTAAATAAAAGCATCAGTAACCCTCCTGTCCTATGAGCCATTTTGGATTAAGTCACCCAGATGACTTGGCTGCCTCCATAGCTTCATAAAGCAGCTTTAGCTTTCATACCACGCCTCCCCATTGAAAAGATTACAGCAGTTTTCTGTACATGGTTCTTTTTTCACTTGGATGATTGATTTTTTCCTTGGCAATGGGTGACTCTGCTGCACTTTTGTTCTCATGTGATAGCACATGTATCTTCATAGCCCTCAGAGTTTTATGCCTTTTTTGTCACAGTGGTTGTAAATCATTTGTTCTGGTGATTTAACCAGGACATAGCTCATCATACTTTGCAATTAGACGATATTCCTCAGCAGACAGACTTTACCCAGCTTTCATGGAGCTTTTTTGTTACATTGGTTTCAAAGTTTCAAATTTTTTTTTGGCCTTGTAAACAAAAGTTAACACAACAATCTCACCACAAGGACCATTAGTCGCCGTTGTGGAGCTTCCAATCTGAACTGTGCTCAGACAAGTAAAGGTTCCATAACAGGTGGATCAACCCAATCCTCTGAGGAAAATCTTCTCATGTGACTGAAAATCAGCTGCTAATAAACCTTGAAATCTTGTTTCCAAGGTCACAAATGAATATTTCCTTTATTTCTCTACTCATTCAGCCTCCGAGTGTGACTTTGAAGATCGATCTTGTGGCTGGTACGAGCTCACCCCTGGCGATGGCTTTGACTGGTTCAAGGGCTCGTCCGCGGAGGTTCCTCCGGACTACTACGGTCAGCCACCACCGCTGGACCACTCCACGAACAGCACTGAAGGTAGGGGAAGCAGACGCACTAGAAATGCACGGCATCAACGCCACCATGTGACACATGCAGTCAGTGCAAATGAGAATAGAAACGTGCTGAGCTGATAAAGCGATTTCACTGTGTCCAGGATGTTTGGTCAAAAATAACTGGGAAAAGATTATATTATCGACAGATTACATCGATGTTTTGTGGAAGAAAATCCCTCGTCTGGTGTTTTTGAGAGATAAGCACTTCATGGAGAAATGCTTTCTCAGCCATCTGAATAATAGAAAGCAAATCGACATATGCTGCACCCAATCTGCATATTAACATCATTCATTGAAATAAACGACACACTACAATAGTTTCTTCTGGGTTTATGTACCACAACATGTCACTGTATATTATGCCTCATTACATCTTTATACTTTTTCTCCACATTTACCCTCCAGAACAGACTTAACTCTTTGAGGCATGGATTTAACAAGGAGCCTCGTTGCGGGCTCACTCCATGCAGGCACCATCTGTTGTTTTTGTACGAACATGCTGTGAAAAGACGCTCTGTTAGGTTTAGATTTGGAGGCTGTGCAGACACTAAACTGAAGCTTTGTGAAATGACACGTATCCTGATGGGTGCATCTGTTTGAAGATGTAGAAAATATGACTGTGACCATTCAAAGACTTATCTAGTCTGCAACAATGTGCAGGTATGTGGAGCTGTTCAAACAGAGCTTATTTGGCAGTTGGACTTTTCATACCAGCCAAGAAAACAATTCAACTGTTTCACACCACAATCGCATAATGTACAGCATTAGACAGAATGGACTCAAGCTGTTTGTTCCCTTCTATAGAGCGGGAGTCATTTTTTACATTCCTTTTTTTTTTTTTTTAGATAGTTTTTAATGAGCGCCACCACACACAAAGCCAAGACCCTTATCTTATCTTGTCTTATCGTATCGTATCGTATCGTATCGTATCGTATCGTATCGTATCGTATCTATATTTCAATTGCATACTTCCAAATGTTTTTATACTTTTGATGAAGCAACCCGTTAATTTAATTTGAAGACAAAACAGTTCACCTAAAGCACTGTGAAGTACCAAAGGACAATATTACAAAATGATAATTATAAAGGCCTTTCCCCCAACATTTCCTGGACTCATGTTTTAGCATTATTTTACCTGCCGTGTGCCATTTGCAATCCAATCTTATGTACTGGTTGAAATTGCTTTAAAGACCAATTCAACTCATACAATGTAGTGGTATTAGCCCTTTCATTGTGACTAAAATGTTATTATTTCATCAAACTGACTTAATTTCATGTATGAGGGTTATATTGTAAAGATAGCCCATAGGAGCTGCAAAAACCCATCCAATCATCAGATGAATTACAGTCGAGTTTCCAAATATATGCAAATATATTAGATATACCTAAAAACCATTCAGAAACAATCATATAGCATTGCCTGTAATGTAAGAATTTTGATTAAAAATTCATTTATACCTGCATTATATATGTAGTTGGCCAACTGATGGGAATATTTTATGTTGCTGGCAAACCAGTGTGATTTGATGATTGGTGTGAAATGAAATGGCTCTCTGCACTGAGCTGCTATTTGCAAGACAAAACACTGTTGCCAAGGCAACTTTCAGTGGACAGGGTATATGTTTTATTTATCCCTCAATTCTTATACGCTAGACACTGTAGTGCACAACAATCCCAGAGGGACAGGTCGATAAAATGGACCCATCTGGCAACAACAACAATGTGGGAAAGCGTTTAGTAAATGAAATTCTCGACTGTCTGCTTCCGTAACAATTCCAGCTTTTTTTTTTTTTAAAGGTGACTCACAGTCTGTATGGTGGAAAAAAGTTGTTTGCAGAAATTAAATGAAGTAGATGCTGAATACGGTTTGAATATTAATTGCCATCTCACTCACTGCAGGTCATTTCATGTTTATACTGAAGAACAGCAGCAGTCTGTATCCACGAGCCATCCTCCGAGGACCCTGGTTCCAGCAGTCGGCCTCTGGCTGCACCATGACCTTCTGGTGAAAGTCACACTACAGCCTGCACTCTTCTACCAACTCTCATTTCTTCTGCAGGCCTAAAAAGTTGTTCAACATGATTTGTTATCATAAGAAGAACTATTCCATGTGTAGATTCACCCACACTTTTGGACCTTTTCCAGTTGCCGTCTCTCAACATCTATGTGTCTTTTGATCTTCCTCTCTTTCCTCCACCCATCATTTCACCTGTCTCAGCGCTGCTCTCTTTGCATCCCCCCTTATCTCACAGTAACACACAATGAGAAGATATGCATCTGAATCTGTCACATTCTGACAGTTTTGTGGCCCCTTAAAGTTTATGTCAAATGACAGATTATAATTTCCCACTGGGTGATTGGGACGGTTCTCCTGGCAGGAAAGTGCGGGAGGTTTATAAATTTTATTTTATCAGCAGAGTTAGCAAAAGTCATCGTGTATTATGTCCAGGAAGCATTATGCAGTATCACAAGAGGAATCTGTGATTTACAGTATCTGGAGTGAGAAAATCATTTCAAAAGTACAACACCACAGAATGCACACATTGCTATGCTGGAAAATCATTGTCAGTGAAATGTAAGCTTCAATCTTGCTCCTATTCCTCTCAGGCACTATAACTCAGGCATATCTGTGGGGGCTGCTGACATGTACCTTCGAATCAACGGAGTTCAAAACAACACTATTATATGGAGAACATTCTACGACCAAGGAACCCGCTGGAACCGCGTCACCGTACAGCTGGGACGCATCACCCAACCATTCCAGATCGCTCTGGCTAAAATCAGCCTCGGCGTGTTCGACGGCATCTCCGCTTTGGATGACGTCACCTTCAAGAACTGTTCGATGCCCCCAGCGGTCGCAGAGTGTCCTCAGCACACACATTTCCATTGCGTGCACACTAAGGCATGTGTGGACCATCTGCAGCTCTGTGATCTTGTGGACGACTGTGGGGACGGATCGGATGAAGAGGGATGTTGTGAGTGTCTTGAATATTTTGGGTAGAAGTACATAGATCATTCAACTAATTTAAAGTACTGATCGAAACACAAGAATTTTGTGTGACATGTACTAAGAGGAACAAAACTAAAACTACTCATCACAAATGGTCATGAGAATGAAATACTATCTTATCTGGATGTTAGTCCTCCCATCATGGTAGTCCTAAGTGCTCAAGTAGAAGGAAACTGGAATTCTGGAAAGGCGTTTCTGCTGCCATTCAAGACTCTTCCTCTGTTCTAACTTACCGATGTAGAGTCACAGATCCTTATTGTCATCCCTGAATCACATAACACATGACCTGTTATTGACCCAAGCTCCCTTGCATTTTGGGAAATAGAGGAAGAACCTTTTGGGGTTTCTCGCCATTGCCACTGTGCAAGAACCTTTTGAGTTCAAAGTGGTGCCTCGATGTACTCCTCAGAAAGGGTTCCATTTTTAACTAATTCTTCTTCTTATTGGTCATGTTATCACTGGTATTATTGTAGTGTTTTTACTCCAAACATCAGAAAATACTTCTTGTTGTATATATTTAGGTAGCTGGGGATTTGGGCATTATTGTCAACAGTCATTTACAAACAAATCTATCAGCATAAAGTCAGGCAAGTTCTCAATTTGCCAAAATATACAAAATGCAATCTCTGGAACTTGCATTTACTAATATGTCCAATATTAATGAAAATTAAATAAAAAATCCTTCAGGCACTCATTTGAGTTTTTAGAGATTCCTCCAGTACAGTTTACAACCAAGGATATCAGCCTGCTCCATTCCACAGGATCATAAGAAAAAACACAAGTTCTATAATTCTGCTGCACAAATTTGTATTCATTCTTCTGCTTTTTTGGAAAATATTCACGATTAGAGGACATGTAACGGTCCTTTACAAAAATGGACTCTTGACTGATTTCCTGCAGCAAAGTCAGTGTGCAGGTCTTGGGTAGTATTACAGCAAATGTGAAAAACAAAGTTGCTTAAAGCCTTTTGTGGCTCCACAAGGAGCCTGAACCCTGCTCGAGGCTTGTAGCTCGAGGCTATATTAACTGCTGCTATGTTAACACAACAGAATCTTAAAACGAACTGTTGGTGGTCCAGTTACGCTGTAGGTGATGTAGGTACCAGGAGGTGACAAGGTAGAAGACTACGTGGATTTAAAAGATGACTTTTTCTGGGTCTGCTGCATTGATTTTTGATACATTTTGGATGTGGAAGGGTCTTGGAGTTATACTGTTAATGCTAAATCGGTGGAGACTGGCTTAAGTATTTCATAATGCTGTAATGTTAGGGGTTACACGATATGTATGGATGCACTGATGTCTCAGTAGCAATTTACTATTTTTGCTGAGGATGGTGGAACTACATTTCTGTTCTATATGATATAGATTAGCCCTGCGATAGACTGGCGACCTGTCCAGGGTGTCCCCTGCCTTCGCCCTAAGTCGGCTGGGATAGACTCCAGCCCCCCCGCGACCCTAGTGAGGATTAAGCGGTGTATAGATAATGGACGGATGGATCATCATACAGTTTTCATTTTAATCTCAAAATAACGTTGCCAATATAGATGTTAAGTAACTGTTAGAATAGAATAGAGGTGTAAAGAACTAGAAGGTAGAAGTACCTAAAAATCCCTCTTAAGTACAGTGGTTAGAGTTTTATGTTTTCTGGCTCCACTTAACATTTATTTTCATGTCTCATAGCTCCAGGGCTGCAGTGTAACTTTGAACACGGACTGTGCAGCTGGACACAGGAACACAGTGGATTAGATGCATTTGACTGGACCCGCATCCAAGGCCCGACTCCATCCTTCAACACAGGCCCCTGGAAGGACCACACGTTTGGCACCAACTATGGCCACTACCTCTACATCGAGTCCTCTGCTCCCCAGGAGTTCAGGGACACAGCTGTGTTGCTGAGTCCAGTCTTTCAACCCACCCACCAGCGGGGCAAAGACCCATCCAGGTCCCGCCACCACTGTGTTTTCCGCTTCCATTACCACATGTTTGGATCGCACGTGTTCTGCCTGGCGGTGTACATGAGGACCTACAGTACAGGCCGCGGTCATATGCTGTGGGTACGATATGGAGACCAAAAAAACTTATGGCACCGGAAGACTCTCTACCTCAACAGTGCTCGGCCTTTCCAGGTAACTTCTGGAGGATATAATGCTCCAAAAACTGATACCAAAAGAGGGATTTCATATTTCAGTTGCCTGCTTTAGTAAATAAGACTTAGTAAGTTTCCCTCCACATTAGCTCCCTGGTTTGAGTCTTGTCCCAAGAATTGATGTTTGCATCCCTTTATGCTCTCCTGTCCTATCCTATTATAAATATCTAAAAGTTCTACTTATGCACAGTGCATAAGGAAATGTAACTGTTTGCTTTGCACACTGGTTAAGGTGTAAATCTTAGTTTAAACACTGTAAAATCACTTAGAATCACCTCACATCCCATTGTATATAATTTGCATTCAGTCCCCTTGTGTAATCAAACATAGACGTACAGAAATGAGCTCCAGGTAAACGTAGCCTGCCGGCAGACAACAATGAAGAGCGAATGAAGCAAATGGTCTGTATTTAAGGGTGCACTCCTGCATTGCATGATGGAGATCTGTTTAATAGCTTCACTGCTCAACATCGATCTCTCAAGATGGATGTTCTGTTGTCATTACTCATGAGTGAGTATAACTTGACAGGGCACTTAAAGACTTTTCCTCCACTGTGACATTGAAAACACAAGCTCTGTTTGCCAAATTAATTGACTGCAGAAGGGCTGAAGTGGAAAAAAAGTGGCACTGATGAATTAAATTCCGACTAAGTGGGCATATTGCCAGGACGTGACAGCATCTAATGACCAAACATCCACATAGTCAGATGCACCAACATACTAATTCTGAGATTGCATTGAGTTTTAATGTGACCAATGTAGCTTTAATAAATACTTCAGCTGTATTAGACAAAAAATAACAGCGCATTGATGTAAAATAGAATGTATGGCTACCAATTTGCAAACAGTTTATTCGAACATCTCAGAAAATTAGATCTGAGCATGTAACCAGAAAATTGGTTTGCTGAATTCCTCCATATTTTTGACGGAAAAAAAAAAAAGGATTCTGTGATAGCTGCTAACTGAGCCAACTGACAAAGCAAGCATTAGCATGCTAATATATAACCTGTTGAAAAGAAAGTAGAAGGTATGATATTTTAAGTATATTCTAATAGTTACACCTTAGAAATTTAATTGACTAAAACTTTTTTCTTGCAGGCTTTTTGCAGACTATAAACTTAATAATAGTTTATGTGTGAAGTTAAAAAGTAGTTGGTGCAACCAAATTGTGGCTTGTTTGTCGACTGCATTTATTGTGTGTTTATGCCTGTTGCCAGATTTTAATTGAAGGGACAGTTGGAGATGATTTTAATGGAGACATCGCCATTGATGACCTTTCCTTCTTGAACTGTGAGCCTTATGAAGGTAAATGATTCCATTCATAAGGTGATTTTTTTAGGGTAATGCTGTTTCCATTGTTAATTTTGTTTTTTTCTCCTCCTGCCACTTGTTCTAGGAGAGCTCCCCAAACTGAATACCACAACCCCTGCAGTGACAACCCCAGCACCCACAGTTACACCCCACAGCTGCCCTGAAGGACAGTTTGTGTGTGGGACACATGAGGAGTGTGTTCCCCTGAGTCAAGTGTGTGATTTCAGACATGACTGCTCTGATGGATCCGATGAAATAAACTGCGGTAAAACATTTATAAGGGTGTTGTTATTGCATGTCATTCTTGTCAGGTTTCCTCTGTGGTGTTTCTTTTGCCCTGTCTTCCTCTGTTTATTTGCCTTTCTCTTTCTCCAGTGAAGGAAAGGTGTGATTTTGAAGACGGCGACACTTGCGGTTGGATGATTGTCAACCTGTCTTTGGTCCCTCACCATACATTTCGCTGGTTGCCTGACCAAGGGGAGAGCATTCATGATGGAGAACAGTACCACCGTCCTATTAATGACCACACTCTGTGAGTGCCAGCAACACAATTTATGTTACAGTAGTCCTTTTTGACATGAAACAGTTGGATAATTAGTCAATTAGTAGATTGAGAAAACATTTTCAATCATTTTCAAACAAAAATTCCAAATATTCACTGATTCCAGGTTCTAAAAATCCAAAGATTGAATCAAAGTAACTTGAATACCTTGCTGTTTTAGAAAGGTTCTGGGAAAAATTGCAAATATTTCTCTTTTAAATGATTAGTCAAAAAAATAATTAGCTCCTTAATTCATTCTCAATTATATTGGCTAACTTAGCTAAATAGAAAGAGCTCAGATATAGCTCATATTCCTTGATCCCTGCAGCTATAGCTAAATTACAACATGGGCAAAAAGACAGAAAGGAAAAAAAATATATTCGATAATTACTCGGCTTGAAAGTCCAAAGAAAAATCTGCTCCTTTTTTAATTGCATTGTCGCTTTTTGCTTGAAACGTTTAGGGGAAAAAATACTGTGAATTTCTCCTTGTGTTTGGGCCCATCCATAGCAGATCATAGCCTGATTGTTCTTATCTGTGTTTTACTGAGTGGGTGTGGAGAGCAGACAATGGCAGCGCACTTTGTCCACAGCATTTCGATAATTTCTTCTTCGATCAGCCAGGATTGCATAACCTCTCCGTCTGTCTGAAACTCTTTTCCTCACTACTGCAGCAGCTGCAACTGTCTCTCAATCGATAAAGAATGAGTGAATGGGAGAAGAGAAGCTTGGTGTTATTTAACCAAAGCAAAGCCACAACTCTTATGGGAATTTGATCAAGCGAAGCAGTAAAGGGTTGAAGCAGATATAAGCGTGGCTCTGACTAAACTGATATGATCAGTGAAGGCAGCACGACTCATTTTACTTGGCGGGCAGCTTTATTATTGACAGTTTTAAGTCGTTTGCCTAAAAGTTAGAGAACAGAGATGAACATGTTAACTGTTAATATTGTTTAGCCTTGTTGTTTATTTTATTATACACCTGAATCAGTGTTTTGTTTGATAAAATCTAAAAAATACTGAGGAATTATAGAATGTGGACACAGTTTTCTACTTGTTTTTTTCCCCCAATGTCAGTGAAAAACTCAAAGATAATAGGTTTGTTATTATATATATAATATTTAAGATAAGAAGGAAAGTAAACCCTTACAGTTGAGAAGCTGTAACGAAAGTATGTTTGACTTTTTCCGTGAAAATAAGTTAAAACAATCGTTTAATGTTTAATTTTCAATGGAATAATAGTTACAGCTAATGGCTATAACTGCTGTCACTGAAAGTAAATGTGGTCAGGGCAGTGGCAATACGTTTCAACCTTTAAAGAACACGCGTCTTAAATTTACAAAGCCAGTGCAAGCAAAGTGCAATAGAGAACAACTGTACATATTATATTTGGTATTCCTTAGTGCTGCCTTGGGCAATACACTGATAGATTTCTCAAGTTTTTTTATGCAGAAAGTGGTCTTAGTAGTATTTTGCACATACCTCACTGGAATATTTAACAGTTTGAAAAAGAAATGCTTGCAAATCTAAGATAGGATATTTACTGTTAATGTACGAATGCCAATTATATGACATAAACAACACCAATATTTTGGTGGGAAAAAAAATTGTTTTGAATGTCTGCATAGCACTTTAATGTGAGTCAGAAAAGGTGGCACTCCATTATGATCCTGTCCTCAGATCATGGAAAAGAGCACCATATACACAAGACAGTCAAGCTAAAGGCGTAATTGGACATGAATAGGCTCATAGTTCACTGTGTTTATCCTGACATTCCTCTGACAGCAACAGCCCCGCGGGTTGGTATATGTACACAGACAGCTCAAACGGCGGCTACGGTCAATCCACTGACCTCCAGACGCCTGTCATCTCCTCCACTGGGCCACAGTGCACCCTGGTCTTCTGGTACCACATGAGCGGCTTCACCGTAGGATCACTGCAGGTGAGAGGGGAAGAATATATCTCATTTCCGTGTAAAGGGCCTCATCAGGATTGAGATACAGAACTATTCATGTGTGCTGTTTCTGTAATATCTGCAGGTGCTGCTGAAGCACAGAAACGTCACTCGTGAGGTTTGGTCTCAAGCTGGTAACCAAGGCAACAAATGGAGACGAGGAGAAGTGTTTTTGGGCTTATCAAACAACTTCCAGGTCTGTCTTTTGTTTAGTTTCGCTTTGAAATGCTTTAAATTGGGTTATATAACTAGATGAAATGCTATAAAATATAGATTTGTTTTATAATCAATAATGCGGCATCAAATTATGCTCCTGCATTTGGCGCTATTAGTGTCTCGAGACGTCTTCACTGCTGCCTCTTCGGTTGTAATCCTTTCCTATCATATGAAAATTTTATACAATGACGCTTTTATTATTATCAGAGATGTATTAATACACCAGCTTCTATATTGCATGTTTACTATCTCAGCTTCTTCTGTAACCAAATATAGATGTCGGAATTTGTCCGTATTTGTCTAATGTGATGAGTTCAAGGTCATAAGCTGCTTGTTCCATTTCTAATAAGTCCATACATTATAATCACAAATATCGACTGTCGCAGACAAAATATTGACTTTTTCTTATAAATAAAATGCCTCAGTCTCTTGTCTAAAATGCCAAAACTTATTTGATTATGGACCCTCTCTGCCTCATTAGTGTCAAAATGAAAAGATATGTTCATGATTGTGCGATTATGTGAAGCTTAGAACAAATGGGACACATCTTCCTAAATCATTCTTCCTGGTAATACTGTTAGAAGAATAGAAATCTTTTTGAAGTTTTAATGGGGATTGAATCCTCAATTCCCAACCTGGACCAATATTCATCATAAAATAATCGGAAGCTTAATCAGTTGGAGTTAAACAAAACAAGGAGAGAATTGTACAGAATTCCCTCTTGTTGTTCTTTCTTCAACAGTGGTACTTGTGGAGCAGAAATGGAGGGGTAATGAAACAGTAAATGGGTTTCTTTCTGAAACCTCTCTAGCTTCGACTGGCCCGGACTACTGAGGTCTTACGTTAGCTTCGAGTAAACATTGGAATATGATTTTTACAATAAATATAAGTGCCCATGATGACCTTTTATCAGCAGAGTTCCACTTCAACCCTTAGAGCTAACAAAGTTGTCTCTTTGTAGTTTTAGGCTTCGTATTTTATAGTGAGAGCCCCTTTGACGTGACATTTATTCCGCTGTGGTAGTTCTCTGTTACAGTTATCCAGGGGAGAGCCTCTTAGATGACATGCACATCAGTGTTATTGGGCTAATTTCAGCTGCAGCAGGCTAAATTGGACTTGCTTACCTGATGATCAATGAATAACCGTTGAGTCTAATTGAGTCTAATGAGTCTGAAGTTGCGAGCGTGACAGTCAGAGTTTGCTGGGTGTTTGCCAAGGTGTCTGTCTGCCGAGGTTATTCCAGGTGAGTGTGAGCACACACAGATAGAAATCCAGTGTCAGCTCTGGAAGCTTGATTGCACAGGAGGAGTCATCCCTTCAACCAAATACAAAGGCGTTTGCACATTTCACTGATACGCATCACCCTCTGTCAGACCACAGAGTCAGATCAATGCCAGAGGGCCTTTTCACAGGAAATCTTTGAGACTACAAGTGCCCTTTTCCTTTTCTCTCTGAGCTCTTCATCAATTGACTGCAGCCGCTTGCACAATAACACGACTTATTAGGACAGCCGCTCTCACCCGTTTTGTTTATGTGGCTTGTCTGATAATATTAACCCTGATCTCTGCAAACAGGATTATGTTTATACGACAGTCTGTAAAGAGAGTTGATCCCGGGTTTGTTGTCCTTTCATAGGTGGTATTCAGGGCAAAGCGGGGCATCAGCTACATGGGTGATGTGGTTATAGACGACGTCAGCTTCCTGGATTGCTCCCCTCCTCTTCTTCCGGACCAGCCGTGCTCACCTGAGCAGTATAGCTGTGCAAATGGCCACTGCATCCCTCAGGACAACCTGTGTGACTTCATCAACCACTGCGGGGACAACTCGGACGAGGACCCCTACATCTGCAGTGAGGCCTCTTCTAATGTGTGACTGATGGCTGCCAGTGAAAGATTAATTTGCTGATAACTGAATATCCTGGATTGATTTCTTTTTTATTGCTGTCTTTCAGAGGGCTTTAGCGGACGCTGCAGTTTTGAGTTTGACCTCTGTTCCTGGCGCCAGTGCCGAGAGGATGACTTTGATTGGCTGATCAAGGCAGGCAGCACTCCAACGGTTGGAACTGGGCCATCAAGTGACCACACGCTGAGAGACCCCTCTGGACACTACCTCTACCTGGAGAGCTCTTTCCCGCAGGCAGTCGGTGACAACGCCCGTATATCAGGACCCCTTCTGAGCAGCAGGAGTTCACAGTGCAAGGTCAGGTCAAGGTCAAAGTTAGGCAGGTACATGCAATAAGTGAAGTATACGTTAAGGAGCATTTGTTTGATGCAAGCACTGAGGGCCAATGACAATAATTAGTTTAACATGGCTACACAGAAAACTAAAAGTTATTTTTTGTAGTTCATCAAACTGGTAACACGTTGGTATGAACATGCTAACAAGTGAGTGCAGTTCCATAGACTGATTATTTATCGTCATCCAGAAAAAAGAAGCCAGAAGCCATTAAAATGTATTCGCACTTCCTCAACATTTTCCAGACTAACACTGATCAACCTATAAGCTTGCGTGAGCTTGAGATGCAAAC